TTTTTTTTTTTTTTGGTGGGCTGAGAAAGGGACAGGCAGAATGAAGCTGGCCACTGAAAAATTGTAAGATGGTCAAAAGCCGACAGCCTGTGTATCTGAAAAGGGAATTGTAAATGGACTACAATTTGATGTACACTGTTATTTGAATACAATTACTGTATCTAAAAGAAGCTGCTATGAAGTACCTTTTTTTTGTTGTTGTTGCTAGGCTACTGTTTCTGAAGGCCCTGGATCTTTTTGCACCAGAAATGATCCAGATACTCTTTTTAAGGATCTTGGCTGCTTTTTACTAGAAGGTCGCTTTTATGAGCATATTTATATTACAGAAGGATGAGTGTTAATTTTAATTAACTTTGTCATTTTGTAGAGAAAAATTATCACATTATGAATTCCAAGTCTTTCACTTGTCACGCATGCATATTTTAATATCCATTTGGATAGCTGGAAGTAGAATCATAAAAGTAAAATATGAGTTGTCATTTTGTTTCTTAAGAATGTCATATTTTATTTATAATATACATGTAATGGGCCATTCTTAAGTTTTCTCCTTAAACTTAATGCTGTCAAGTGTTAGATGTGTGCATGTGACTCTGTTGCACATCAAAACATATTCAAAGTTTATCTATGTAACTTATTCACTCTGTAAATACATTTAAAGATTTTGTGATGTAATCTTGATTGATATTCTGTTCAGACATTTCTTTAGACTAAAAAGACAAAAATACATGTTGACCTTGGATTTTATTTCTGGTTAATGAAAATATTTGCCTTTGATATACATTAATAGTTTTGCAGGTGGGCTGCTACAGTGACAACTCCAAGGGACACAATTTACATTTAGTATGTAAATAGCACCCATTGGGATTGTGTAGCAAAGGCCCTTGAAGCCAGAGATAAACAGAATGTCTCTGGAAATGGGCACTAAAAAAGTCTTCCAACCAGTTTTCTCTGTAATCAAAGAGAAAAATCAGAAAAGAACAAAGGCATGTAATTGTCCATAACCCATCATTTAAGGCTGACATCCTTAAAATTATAGAACAGATTTTATAATGAGTAGTAAATACTAGACTTTTTGTACTATCACTGACACCCCACTAGAAAAACAGGGATAGACACAGAGCAATCTAATGAATACTGTCTTTCTCCTCGAAAACTAACAACTTGCTTTAATGACATACAACTACTGAATCATTAATAGTAATTTTGTAGAAGTATCCTGAAGGAGGGAGTCTGACCCAAGTTTTTGTTGTTGTTACCATTGATAAAATTATTAATATGTTTTAAGAACTTTCTGGATGGCTGTAAACATTCTTTTGATGTTATTTTTTTCAACTGAAAGATAACTTGTTGTGATTTGTAGAACAAACAACTGAATCATGATCACTCTGAAAAATACCTCATAAAATTCAGGTTTCTGTGGGTAATGATAGCCACCTGTCAGTTTTGTTGGAAGCCACAGTACAAAGAACTGACTGGTCGTGACAGTTTGCCACCACGCCCTCTTCTTATCCAGCAAAGAACTACCACAATGGTTTACTCTGTTCAAAAGGATGTCAACAGTACATTGTAATCTGACATATTAGACTGCAGTCAAAAGAAAAAGTCAAGTTTGTCATTTTTTATTTTTGAAAAGATATATGTTAATGTGAATTGGGTTTCCTCTGCTTTTCCTCTATTTCTTCATTGTCTCCCCCTTGAATGGAGGTGGGAAGAATTGTGTAGGAAAGGAACCCCACCCCAGTTGAGCCCAGCAGTAGTTTTAGATCTTCCAATCAGATCTCCTGGGCTAACATGCCCCACTTCACTTACTGAAGCACTAATTTTCACTACCTTCCTCAAGGCTACAGAGGTTGAGGTGCCAAAGGAGAGGGTAGATACCTAACTGATGCTTTAGTGATAAAATGCCTCCTCGTTGCTCATTAGAGCCAGATACTTTTTACCCATTGGCATGATAAAGTAATCAAGATAAGCCTTCTCTAATAGACATAACTTGATTAAAATTATACTCTCTAAATATGGTGATTTCAAAAAAGCAACAAAAATTTTAGAGGCATCTGTGTTTTACTTCCACCCACAGGTGAGAATGTTAAGAAAATGTGTTGAATCAGCTGTAAAATAAAGATGCTTTTAACTGTTAGCATCATACATATGTGCACATACAGATTTTAATGCATCTGGTTCCAAGTTCTAACAAACATTGACCTTTTCAGTGGATTCTAGAAAGAGGGTACTGCTATTTATATCAATAGCTTACACCTGCTTCCAGTTCACTGCCCAAACATAAAATTAGTGTCCCCCAGTGAATTTTATGGTTTGTTAATGTGTCTCAATAAAGCTGGTTTTTAAAGTATTTAATGCATTTACTTTGGATCAATTAATATTTGAGTATATATCAGATACAGATATTTATGGCATGCTTGCTCTGGGGTAGCATCGGTAGAAGAGACTGCATTTATCCAAACAGATATGGCCCTCTTCCGAGGAAGTTCATACTCTATTGAGGGAAGATATGCTTGGCCGTCTATGTGAGGTGTGATAAGTGCCATGAAAAACTATAGAACAGGGACACATAGTAACCAAGGTGTGGTGCTATTTTAGGAAGGCTGCTAGAGAAACCCTTTCTAAGAAGGTGATACCTGAGCAGAGATCTGAATGAAGGATACAAAATGAACAACCAGGGGAAAAAGCATCCCAACAGGAATCACAAGTCCAAAGATCATAGCAGGAGCAGGATCACTTGGTTGAAGTCAGAAGCCAGCAGCTGGAGTGAAGAAGAGAGTTCAGAGAAGACTCTGTGGGCCATGAGAAGGACACAGTCCCTTTCTGGGTGATGTGGAAATCCATGGATGTCTGGGGTCGCAGCAGTGACATGTTTTGACCTATGTTTTAATAGAATCCTTCTGTTTGGGATGATGAAAAACTTGAGTCAGTAATCATTATGGTTTAGATATGAAATGTTCCCTGAAAAGCTCATGTTAGGCAATGCAGGAATGTTCAGAGGTAAAATAAGAGATTGATGGGTGGTAATGGTAGGCAGGTAGGACATAGGTGGAGAACAGAGGTCACTGGAGAAATGCTCTTGGAGATTTTGTCCCTGGCTCCTGGTTCGGTTGTTCCTGCCCCTCCCTCCCCCCCATCCCCCACCTCTAGTTAACAGCCTCCCTGTGCTGATCAGCTTTCCTCCACCACACTCTTTCACTGGGATATTCTGCCTTGTCTCAGATCCAAAGGAATAGAGTCAGGCAACCATGAACAAAGACTCTGAAACCATAAGCCCAAAATAAACTTATCTCTTCTAAGGTTTTTTTTTTTTTTTTTTTGTGTGTGTGTGTGTGTGTGTGTGTGTGTTGGGGAGGGTATGGGGATTGAACTCAGTCACTCAACCACTGAGCCACATTCCCAGCCCTATTTTGTATCTTATTTAGAAATAGGATCTCATTGATTTGCTTACCATCTCACTTCTCCTGAGGCTGGCTTTGAACTTGTGATCCTCCTGCCTCAGCCTCCCAAACCACTGGGATTATAGGCATGCACCACTGTGCCTGGACTCCTCAACTGTTCTTGTATTTTGATCATGGCAACAAAAAGCTGAGTAACACGGTAGTTACTTACCTTGTGGATATACTTACTGCAGCTGAATCGTGTACTTTAAAATGATAAATTTCATGTATATATTTGGCGACAGTAAAATTAATTCTTTTTAAGAAGGCTCACTTGAGCTGTTACATGAAGAATAGATTGAGGTAGGGCAGAAGTGAAAGTTAGAAGGCAACTGCAACAGTGTAGCCAACAGGGGTGCTGGCCTGGGCAGGGAAGTTGCCATGGGGCTGATTAGGAGAGGACATATTAAGGAAACGTTTCAGAGGTAAAGCTGATGGAATTCACTGATGACACAGAGAATTCAAAAGACTTCAGAGATTCACCCAGCAACTGAAAAGAATGAATTTGCCACTTACAGAGATGAGGAAGTGCACATTGGAATGTAGAAATCAAGACATGTTAACTTTAAGGTGGTAAGTAAATGGGTTGATTTGTGAGTCTATTGTGGGAAGAAGCCTGGGCCAAGGACACAGATGATATTTACAATCCTTGGGAGAAAAATAGGATGCTTATTTGTCTTGGTCAGTTGGAACAGGAATATCTCTTATAAGAATCAGTATACACAGGGCTGGGCTTGTGGCTCAGCAGTAATCGCCTAGCATGTTCAAGGCTCTGGGTTCAATCCTCAGCACCACATAAAAATAAATAAAAATATTGTGTCCAAGTACAACTAAAAAATAAATATTAAAAAAGGAAAACAAACAAAAAAAGAATCAGTGTACAGTAGGTGTGGTGGCACATGCCTGTAATCCCAGAGACTCAGGAGGCTGAGGCAGGAGGATCCCAAGTTCAAAATCAGCCTCAGCAACTTAGCTAGTCCCTAGACAACTCAACAAGTCCCTGTCTCTAAATAAACTATTAATAAGGGCTGGGGATGTAGTTCAAATGGTTAAGCACCCCTGTTTTCAATCCCAGTTATTAAAAAAAAAAAAAAAGAGTGTAGGCAATGGGTTTGAATCCTTAGTTGTATATGAGATCAGCCCATGGAGAACTTGGGAACACTCAGGCCCCACTCCAGACTGACTTAATAGGCACAGGCTGTACTCAATACCCAATGCTGTTTAAAGTTCCCCAGGTGCTGGTCCTCAAACTTAAGAGTCTCCACAGGATGCTTGTCAAAAGTGCAGCTTCTAAGAATCACAGCCTTTGGGACAGGAGTCCCCTGTGTTTCTCCTTTGCTAACAAAGCAATGAACCATCTTTTTCCTTTTTCTCAAAACCATGTCCTCCTTATTGGATTGGCATCTGGGACCAGGACGGAGCTTTTGGCAACAAACTTGGGAACCCAGGTGGGA